AACTCTTGTGAAGTTAGTAGCAAAGTTATTAAGGGAGTGTTTGTGATTGCTTCTATTTTAAAAAGTGATTTTTTAAAATGATTTTGGAGAAAGTGATTAATAGTAAAAGTTGATAGTATTTGATAAAATAAGTGCTTTTGTGTAATAGAAAAAGTGAAAAATTGTTTAAAACATCTCCAACTGCTTCCATCTTTTAGCTTTTAAGTGCTTAATTTAAGCACACACTCCCTAAAAGTTAGAACAGCTCCTACTTCGATAAAACCTACTCCCTCCGTCCCGTAATCAAGTTCCTACTTTCCTTTTTGGGATGATCAATATTAAAGTTCCTACTTCAAATCTTTCCTTATTTGGCAAATGATTTACACCAAAACAGTGACAAACAGTGTTTAAACAGTGTCAAACAGTGTTCAAACAATGCACTCTACAGTAAAGTCAAATTTATTTCTTAATATGTGTGAAGTCAAACTAGGAACTTAATTAAGTACCGGAGTGGTGTAAACATAAAACATGTACCTTCATTTATTTGCCGGGTGACAGAAGTTAGAATAGTTGAGCTTTTTTTACACAAAATTAGGGCATCACTTTTCGACTTTGAACACTTCCTCAATCACTTTCAATTTGGAGACTGCTTTTCTCGGCTGGCAAAGTTCTCACTTTCTACAAACCTCTTTTTCATGCTTTGTTTCATTTGATTCAGCGTCCGCTCTGGTGGACTCTCGTCTTAACCGCTTTCTTCCCACTCCAGTAACCTAAGTAAGTTGTATTACGTATATCTTGTTCTCAGCTAGTCAACCCCAAAGTTATCATCTTGATCTTACGAGATTTCTCCATTACGTCTTCTTATGCGTCTTGGGAAAAATCCAATTTGTTCAATTTTCTGATTCTTTATTCTGAATTTAATGTTCAGTTGCTTTAGAACCCCACTCAATTAATTAGCGATAGCTTGTTTTTTTTATATGTGACTGGGTATAAGAGTTACGGTCTGTTCATCTGCTGATTTTGCTATGAAAGTTGAGTTGCCGGTTGGATATTGGTTGCGATTTGATTATTTAACTTTCTGCTTATGAGTATTCTAAATCTCTAAAAATATCAATTTATCTTTGCTGATTTCTGGGAGTTATGTTGACTGGTGGCCTGGTGGGAATGGACTTGAGATGTATTTCTTCAAAACTGCATTCTTGTTGCTTACGTTTCTTCACTTGTGCGATCAAATCTTCTTGAGTTTAATACCTTTGTTAGTATCATTTTTATTTAGAACCAAATTATGTATGATAACTACCTTAAGTCCAAATTACAGAAGGCGGGGACCAAATTAAGCTCAAAAAAGTCGAGGACTATATTGAGTAAGAATAATTGATAATTTACCGGGGGTATAAGAATCTGATTTTTTTATTGAATTCTTGCAGCAAGATAAACATTGCTGGTTTGTCAATTTCTCCATGGCTATGTGTATTTATGTCAACACTAATAAAGCAAATTTCCATTGAACTAACACTGGTAAAATTAGGGTTGAGCAAACAGTCAGTGCGTTCAATAACTGATGACACATTTTTTACAATTGTGATCGCCCAAGCACAACCGAAGTAATCACAATGAGTCTATGCTGAGCTGAATAACTGCATATTGGGTTTGGTTGGTTCCAAGTAACTGACACAGACCAACCGTAGTGATCACTTCAAATGACTAAACAACTGCATATCCGTTGTGCTCAATTAAGATTAGTCCAACTATCTTCTGCATTTGTAGGTTCAGTCACTTCAGTTGGCTCTTCATTCGGCATTCCAACTTCTTTTTGCCCCTTCCCCCACCCCGGTTTCTACTCTAAGAGACTCCACTTCTCTTTGTTACTCACCCTCTGATTCTCTTACAACTTATGCATCTTTATCATTCACTCCCTCCCTCTTCTGCTTACTTGAAGTCCTTTGTCCAGTTTACCCAGATGGCATCCGGTTTGTTTCTTGTATCTCAGTGTCTGATGACAATGGTCTCACCTTTCCCTTTACATTGATCCCTGTTGATTTACTCACTGATCCTCTTGAGGTTATGTGTTTTTAAAATGTCTTGGCAGCTCATGCAGTAGTTGCTTCAAAATAATGTTTTGGTGTTGAACTGTTAAATGACTAATTAATTTGTATTTGGTTGTTGGGAAATCCAAAATGTTTGTTACTTGAAGTTGTTCAGTCATAACCTGAAACTGGGACTTTAAAATAAAGAATTGAAAATAAACGAACACTTTTTCAAAAATAGTGACTGGCTTAAAAACAACTGTATTCTCATCCCTAGGTACTGTATTTGCTAAAAGCTCAAATAGGTCCTTTTACCACTCCCAAATGTTTAATTCACCCCTTCAACCAAAAAGCTCCCATGGTATCCTCAACTTGCTAAAAACTTGAAATCTCACCATTTTATAAGGAAGCAGTTTCTTTCCACTCAGTAGGTGTATGGCCATGTGGCAGCTTACTGGACACCCACATGCAACCATCTTCATTAAAAATCTTAGCACCAACCCTAGTTATAGGAATTCCATGATTTTATGTACAAAGAAACCTGAGGCAGGGAGTGCTAATCCTATCTCATACCATGGCTTTCCGCTTACAGAAGTTAGCTATTAGGGAAATTGCTACAGAGCTCTTCCATAGTTGCTACTCTGTGTGAGTCTTTTTGCAAGCTTTTCCATTGAAAGGAATAATCCAGATCAAAGCTATTGATAGACACCTAGTCCTCTTCCATAGAGAGATGCATGATAAAGAAATGGGCAACTAGTCGCACGGGTTTGCAGTGCATGACATCAGTTGGTGTCTCACGTAGGAATGGCCTTATTTTGGTGAGATTGCCAGTGTATGGGTGGAGCTTGAGGAGAAAAAACAGACGAAGATGGGGTAGGAGTATTATAAAGCTTTTTTACCCATGTGGTTTCAAGTAGAACAAACAGAGCTAAACATCTTTTTTTTTTGTTTTAAAAAAAATATGAGTAGAAGATGGATTAGGAATATGGTGAGGCTACAGATAGTTACTTTTGCATCCAATAAGCTGCATTGTGATTGTGGGCACATACCCAGTGAGTAGAAAAGAAACCAGTTCGTAACCTGTAAATGGAGAGATTACGGTTTTTTTTAACAAGTAGGAGGTTACAATCGGGGTTTGCTTTTGTTGAGGGGGTGAATTGTCGGAGTAGTATAGCCATACAGGGAATAATTTCGTTAGAGCAACTGTTGTTCTCTTAGAATTTATGTGTGTGTGTATCTTTCATTCTCTACTGATGGGGATAATTTTGGTTGTTGATCGTCAGGTGATTCATAAAGAAGTTGTGTGAGTAGGACAATTTCTACTTTTTGACTGATATAAGTGAAGGTGGTGTGTGTGGTTCATGCAAAAGACACCATGCAGCTCTATCATCATCCCTATTCCTTGGACAGCCAAAAAGTCAGGCTTGCTTTGGAAGAGAAAGGGATTGATTACACATCACATCATGTGAATCCCATTACTGGCAAGAATTTGGATGCCTTTTTCTTCCGTATGAACCCAAGGGCTAAACTTCCTGTTTTCCAGAACGGTTCCCACATCATATATGATACTGTAGAGATAATTCAGTAAGTATTACCTTCTCTTGCTTATCTAGATTTATGAACTAAGTTTGGAATAATTCACCTTTGTTCAAGTCATTTGTTACTTTTGATTCCACCGTCATGACCAAAAGTTGAAAAGTTTGAAGTTGGGAAATAAAATCGAAAATGAAATAATAGTCGTGCGACCAAAAATGAAACATTACGTCCTCTCTATTTAAAATTTCTTGATTCCTTTTTGGATTTCCCAAAATAGAGTCATCTTTCATAATTTGGTGAAAAGATCATATCAATTTACTCTACAAGTCTACAGTAATATTTACCCCTTGAAGAAACGGCATTCCTGGAAGTCTAAGAACAAAATCTGATTTCTTTGTTCCGTTAATGTTGAAGTAAGACTTTCTTTAAGAAACAGGACGATTAATACTTATGTGTAAGGAAGAGTGTTTGTTAACCTTTCCTTTTTTGCTATTTAAACAAGTCAAAAGCTACTTATTATGATTACTATATGTTGAGAAATAAAATAAGTCACCACTTCTGAATACTAAACATTTTACAGGTATATTGAAAGGATTGCAGAGAAAGCGGCTTCCGGTGGCAATGATTTAAATGCGAGCAATCAAGAAGTTGTGGAATGGATGCGTAAGATTCAAGTGTGGGACCATAAGTATTTTACGCTCATCCATGTTCCAGTGAAGCATCGTCTCCACATTTCTAAATTTTTAAGACGCATAATAATTGCCCGGATGACTGAATGTCCAGACTTGGCAAGCTCTTATCATCGTAAGCTAAGAGAGGCATATGAGACCGAGGAAAAGTTAGGGAATGCAGAGGTCGTGAGACGGAGTGAAGAACAACTTAAGAAGCTTTTGGATGAAGTTGAAGGCAAACTGTGTGAAACTGCTTATTTAGCTGGGGAGGAGTTCAGTTTGGCAGATGTGATGCTAATCCCCATCCTGGCTCGAATAGAGCTGTTAAACTTGGAGCTTCAGTTCATTAATACAAGACCTAATCTGGCGGAGTATTGGGCTGTGGTGAAACAGAGGCCTAGTTATAAGAAGGTGATTGGAAGGTACTTTGATGGATGGAAACGGAAGAAAACCCTAGTAAAAACATGGTGCTTTGTCACACTCAGAGGCATGCTGCGAAAATACTGAGGGTAAAAGCGTCTCACATCCTATGGATGGGGAAAAACTGTACTCAGAGTGACTCTTAAAGGTTTTTTACCTGTGTACTGCTAAAAAGGTCAAATTGGCTTCATAACAGATGTAATAGGAGGGAAAAGATCCGATGTACAGAGTCAGAAATATTAAGTTTGTGGTGCTGTAAAATTTTCCGTTATTTTTCCTGGAAAATGTTTGATAATTTATTATTTGAACTGTGTAAAAGATTTATAATTTTATATGCATTATGGGAGCTTGTTTATTTAAGCAGCTCGAGTGCATGACAACCTTTTCTTTATTGATTATTGTGACTAAAAATGCAGCAATCAATGATCAAGAATAATAGGTATCATAATTAAATCACCCTTTTTGCATACATTAAAAATGAATCAACACATGAATAATCTTTTGTGAGGTTTGCTTTCAAATAAATAACAAGCATCATAAATAAAAAATCCATACAAATTGATAAAAATTCAAAATAATAAATGGGGCTGGCAACAGCATCTCCTGAGATGCAACTGATTACCTGTTTGTCTATGTGCTCAGTCAATGCTAAGATCGACTCTCTAAAGCTGCAAAGTTAAAAATTAAGTCTTCTAATTTGCATCTGAAGTTTTTACCAAGTAATAGAGAATTGAAATAATAAACACATTTGTGTGAAAAAAATACCATGCTCATACTCAAATCAGCTGTACTTGAATGTTCCATTATTACATGTTCATTTATTGTTATATAAAGTAAATCTCACAGCTAGAATTGGCATTCTTCAAATCACACTAGAACTAGAAGTATTTAGTCATTCAAAATAAAAATGTAACAAGTGACTATAATATGCAATGTTCTACATACTTACAAACCAAATAAGTAATACCTAAAATAATGCAACTTAGGAATGAGAGCCTTAGAGCATTATTATGGCACTGCAAAACTGGAAAGTCTAACTTTTTAAACCAACCTCTCCACTCCAGGTTGTAAGGATCTCTCTCAATGCCAGATATTCCAGTACCTGAACGGGAGCAACCAATAATCAACCCTAAGGGTAAACCATAACAAATCTAACATTTTTGTGGGGGGTGTTAATGGTACAGATCTTGATGAGATTATGGCCCTTGTGGACTTTGGGCGTGGGACGTTCCCGGTAAGGTACCTTGGAATACCACTTGCTCCATTAAAGGTTTCGGTGGCCCAATATGCGCCTTTGATTACTACTATTTCGGACTTCTTGAAAGCTTGGAATACGAAGACTTTATCCTATGCCGGGAAATTGGAGTTGATTAGATCGGTGATCCAAGGGGTCCAATCTTTTTGGCTACAAGTCTTTCCGGTCCCCCAAACTATCTTGGATAGGATAGTCTCTATATGTAGAGTTTTCTTATGGGGTGGGAAGTTCTCCAAAGTAGCTTGGGATGACATTTGTCTTCCAAAAGAGTAGGGGGGTCTTGGCATCCATAATACCAAGGTTTGGAACCATGCTCTCCTCTCTCGAACACTTTGGGACGTCCATAGGAAAAAGGATACACTTTGGGTGAGGTGGGTCAATGGGGTCTATCTTCAAGGTAGGAGTGTGTGGGATTTTATCCCACACAATCGTGACTCAATATTCATAAAGAAATTGAGTCACATCCGCGACCAAATAAAGGGATGTTTTAACAATTTAAATGATACCATAATGGGTCTAAGTGCTAGATCCGTGAATGGGAAACTAGTCTCAGGAAAGATTTATGAATTATTGAGAACTAAAGGGACGATTCGAGCTTGGATGAGTTTTGCTTGGAAGTCTTATATTCCTCCCAAATTCTCATTTAACGTTTGGCTTGCCTTGCGTAACCGGTTACCTACACAGGATAAACTCGGTTATTTGCATATGGTTAACCGGTGTGACCTTTGCAAGAGTGGCTTGGAAACAATGCCACACCTATTTTTCTTTGTCCTTACACGTGTAGGGTATGGGAAAAAATAAAGAATTGGTTGGGCTTAACAAGGGAGATGACCACTCTAAGCAGCTCGGTCAAATGGATTTTGAAGGACCATAAAGGCTCGAAGATCAAAGGGAAAGCTGTCCGGATTGCCTTCTGCGCCGCGGTTTACTACCTATGGCACGCTAGGAATTCCAACAGATTTGATGAGGAGGACGTCAAGGAAGATGAGGTCATCGCAAAAATTAAGCATGTGGTATATAAAATACTTTTCAATATATACCCACATGACTTGATTACCTTTTGAGTTAAAGGCCGTAGCATGGATATTATGGATGCCGCGGTTTGGACAGACTGCTACATGAGTGTTTTTGGATGCCGAGGCATGGATATATTGGATGTCGAGGCCTGAACGGCTTTGGTCACTGTGGCATGGGCATCGTGGATACCGCGACATTAAGCAGGGTCTTGGATTTTAGGGTGTTTGCATCTTGCAACACCTTTGTATTCTGTTTTTGATTTTATGATTTGTGTGTGTGCTTTGGCAGCACCGATGTATTTTTGAACCTCTACTTGGTGATTTTTTGGCATAGAGTAGATCAAACAAAAAAAACTCCTTTCACCCTCACATTATGTGTGTGTGGGGAGGGGGGTTAGGAGATCTAGTTTATGTGATGTATAGTTTTCTGGGTGTTAATATATATTTACATTTCATCCAAAAAAAAACCAATAATCAACCCTAAGGCTTTGTTTTATTGTGAAGAACTAGGAAGAGAAGATATGAGAGAGAAATAGGAGAGAAAAGTATAATCTCCCTTGTTTTGTATAGACATGTTTTGAGCATATTCTATTTCTTCTCTCATTAAGAGAAATACGAGAAATACATTCCTAATTCTGAATCATTTTCTCTCTTGCATTTCTATTCTAATAAGCATCACTTAAATCAAGCACTTCATTAGCATGGCATGATAAATGTTTAAAGGCTAAAGAGTCAAATAGGTACATGAACTAACTTAAAGTCTTCAATTGGCCCCTTATATAGGAGGTTTTGCCCGGCCGTCGGCAATTGGGGCGGTTCCCGGTTGAATTTTTTGATGAATTTTTTTTAGCATTTTCTTCATGAAGTCTAGTTTACCCATATCAAATTTCAGCTAAAAATTCAACCGGGAAGGCAATCAAATGATTTTTTTCAGATAACAGCGCAGTACATTTCGGAAAATCATTTGACTGCCTTCCCGGTTGAATTTTTAGCTGAAATTTGGTATGGGTAAACTAGACTTCATGAAGAAGATGCTCAAAAAATTTCATCAAAAAAATCCACCGGGAACCGCCCCAATTGGCGACGGCCGGGCAGAACCTCCTATATAAGGGGCCAACTGAACACTTTAAGTTAGTTCATGCACTTATTTGACCCTTTAGCCAAGTTTAAAAAATGAAGACAAATGGAAAGATGGAAAGAGGAATTATAGATGATTGCCATATCCAAATGGACCTGTTTGTGAGAACTTTTCGGGAAAATAACCATTGAAGTGACGTCATGTGTTGATAAGCTAAAATGACGTCATGTGACTTAAATCTCATTTACCTTGAGCAGCTTTCGAAGAATAGGTGTCTTATTGAATTCCCTCCTATATCGCTTCAATATGTTGTGTAACATCTGCAAACCTAGTAAGTACCAATAGAAAACCAAATTTGCAGTTTTCAAACATCATATACATTATTTTACCAGAAAGTTAAGGGAGGGCATGCAATAATAAGTTCACAAGTTCCCAGCGCCGGTCCTGACTAATTATGGGCCCGGGGCAAAAGACAAAAAATAGGCCCTGTAGATGTTAGTGCCGGTGAACGCTTGCAATATATGATCCCCTACAAAAAGCTCGTGATTAAAAAGCGAAAATGCAAAATAGCAATCGGCCAATTGTATGGAAAGATTAAAAGATATAAATAAATTACTTTATATCCTTAATTAAAAACCCTTTTCTAAGTAATATACTAGATACAAGTAAACCCAGAGAGAAAAGGATACTAAAATATGAAAAAGACAGAAGTTATCCACCATTGGCTTAGTACTACAAGTAAACCCATAAAGTAATATACTAAATAATTAAAATTATAAATTAATGTAGTCAATTTACATAATTAGTAAATGCCTGTGAGCACCGTGCGGCAGTGCTCGTCCTCGTGTGATGGTTGAATCCTTTGAGAGGTCTAGAGAGTGGATTAAAGGAAAAGGCAAAAATTAAGAATTTGAGAATTGAGTATTTAAGATTTGAGAGCAAAGAATAACGAAGGCCGACGGTTGAATCAATTAAGCAAAGCGTGTAGTTGATTATAAGAGACCGAAGAGATTCATATGATTTGTATCAGGGAGGCGGAAAGATTGAGTATCCAACGTTTGGCAACTAAATCCAGAATTGGTTAGGATTGGTATTAATGTTTAGTTTTCGATTTTTGTGAGGGAGTTCGAAAGTCTTCCTCTCGCATGTGGGCCTTGGCTCAATCTAGAACTACAAAATAGAGATTGATATCTTACTGTATACGACTATACGGAGTACTATTAATTAATTTAGATATTTAGTATTATTAATTTATATATATAATAACTACTATAAAATCTATGGGCCCCTTTTTCCTGGTGGGCCCTGGGCAGCAGCCCAGGCTGCCCCTATACCAGGACCGGCCCTGCAAGTTCCTACCATTCTTATTGATGATGTCAACCAAAACTGTCCTCGACTTGGTCTTCAAGAGCGCACCAAGGATCATAGAGAGCTCTCGGTTGCTGCAAAAGATATTCAGATATCATGACCAGCACATGTAGCAAAGAAAGAGTATTACACCAACAGGGAAAAGGAAGTAATCTTCTTAATTACCTTGAATTGCTTCTCCATTACCAATATCCCCAGAAGCAGCAGTCAAAAGTAGGAGCTTTAAGTAGTACCTTGGTGCATCCTATTTCAAACAAAAATGATCTTTCGAATTTAACTCAGCAGAAAAGATAAGAGCTCTTTTAGAGTGCAAAACTGACACACTTTACTATATGAGCATAAAAACTTGAAGCTAAACACAGGAATCAAGTTCCAGTCTCTGAGCAACGAAATAATGAAAATGGTCATAATAACTAATTCAGCTCATAAAGTAAACTGTACTATAACAAAAGTACTTGACAATAAAGTAAAAAATGATTTACATTTATCCTCCGTCATTTGCAATGGAGCCAAAGATTCACTATTTTTTGGCTTGTGAATATGATGGAATAAAGCAAAACGACTTACTAAACTGTCTGCGTTTTTTTGTTATGAAGCAGCAGTCAGCTCATGAAATTTCTGACGCGATTTTCACCACGGGTCATCCGGAAACAGTCTCTGTGCTTTCGTACAGGGGTAAGACTGCATAAATCCGACCCCCCCCTTACCCCACTGTAGGTGGGAGCCTTTGCGGCACTGGGGTAAGGGGAGTCGGATATACGCAGCCTCTCATATGATGACTCTGATTAAGTGATTATTGATACCCCTTTTAATTCTCCTTCGGTCCCTTAAAATTTGGCCAAGTACAACTGACATGGGAAATAATAAAGTAAAAAATATGTGGTTGAAGCTTGTACAAAGGAGAGAGAAGTATTTGGAACCATAAATTAATTTATTAAAAGGGAAAATATTGTTTTTGGGACAACACAAAAAGAGATATTGCAAAGTTATAAGGGACGGGGAGATTATTAATTAAGTTATCTTTTGTCAATATATATATATATAGGATGTGAATACTACTATACCGTGCTCTTTTAATTTTGTGAACCTATTAACAAATTGGAATTATTGTTGTGTGTATATATATATTAAATATATATATATATATATATATGTGTGTGTGTGTGTGTATGTCAAAATGTCCCACACCGGAAAATTGAGAAGCATTAGAGTGCTATATTAAGTTTCGGGCTACTCCTCCTAACAGGGTTGACCTTTTAGGATGGAACCCCGGATCTTAACATGGTATCAGAGCCAAATCGATCCATGGTGTAGGTCCCCTTATGAAAAATGACGACACGATAAAAAAAATTGCCGAATCGATGAAAAAATGAATGACGACACGATCCAGACGAAGTGTCTGATTGTAAGGAGGGGTGTTAAAATGTCCCACACCGGAAAATTGAGAAGCATTAGAGTGTTATATTAAGCTTTGAGCTACTCCTCCTAACAGGGTTGATCTTTTAGGATGGAACCTCGTGTCTTAACAATATATATATATATATATATATATATATATATATATATATATATATATATAAGTATGAATTATATTTGCAAAAGGCATAAAAGCAATGATTGTTGGTGTCAATTTAGGATGTTTTTACTTGGACTGTAATTTGTCCCAGACCAGACCAGATCAGACCAGACCAGCAACAACAACAATAGTACCATATATAATAAAACTACTAGATAATAATCATTAACATGAGATCAATTCATATGATTTCAGATAAATATAAAAAAGACTCCAAATAGATTTGAATATTCCAAATTAGGAATATAGCTTGGATTATAAAGATCAAGTTCAAACCATATTTGTAAGATTTATATATTATTAAAACAGTTTGAATGATTGAAAGTAAACGAATTGAGTGAGTTTTTTTATCTTTTATGACAGTGACTCACAATGCTGATTCCATTCTCTAGAAAAATCTCACTATGAAGCTTGATCTAAATATTTGTTAATTAGAGGTCTCCATCCAACTGTATGGAATTTTACCATAGTTTAGTGAAAAGTATCACTATGAAGTTAGGTGTGGTTTATTTCAAACTCTCACAAACATTAGTTTAGTGAAAAGTAGAGAAAGAATATACAATTGCATGTAATACAACTAATTAGTGGCGTAGTTGGAGATGAAATTGGGGTGACTTGGATGAAAAGTTCATTCATATAAATTTTCACACAAAAGATTTTTATGTGTAAAAATAAAGGATTTTACCAAAAATATGTGAAGTTGGGCCCAAACACATGTTCCCCGGACTACACCCACGCAGCTAACACTATTTCCTGCTCTTCACTTACAGTACAAATTAAAAGCCGCCACTTCAAGTGGCGGCTCTTCTCTTGCATTACAAAAGCCGCCACTTAGGGTGACGGATCTTCTCTTGCAATACCACACCAGCTTATTCAACCGGAGAAAAAAACACAAAAACTTGCTCAGTAATGTACAATCAACTCAGAAACATTAAACGACTACTATTTATAGTCAATATAGAGTGGACCATGCCATCAGCAGGTAAAGCAATAAAATGTTATCTCAACCAAGGCATCCTCAAGGCGGACCCCCAAATATATGTCCCAGGATGTGGCCATACTCCTAGTAATCTGTGTACCTAGCACAAGCAATCAGCGCACATGCCCCCGACCTCAGTACTTTACATTATTGTGTTAAATACTTGATCGAATTGTTTTTTGAAACATTGGATTTATTATAAACTTTATGTGATATTTCTGGTATTGTGATCCAATATATTTCATTGACTCCTTTTGTGTCTCGGATATGTTTTGTTTTTTAGTGCTCTATATTGACTATAAATAGCAGTTGCTTGATGTTTCTGAGTTGATTGTATAGTACTGAGCAAGTTTTTGTGTTTTTTTCCGGTTGAATTAGCTGATGGGGTACTGTAAAAGAAGAGCCGCCACTTGAAGTGACAACTTTTGTACTGTAAGAGAAGAGCCGCCACTTCAAGTGGCCGCTTTTGTACCGTAAGAGAAGAGCCGCCACTTCAAGTGGCGGCTTTTGTACTGTAAGAGAAGAGCCGCCACTTCAAGTGGCGGCTTTTGTATTGTAAGAGAAGAGCCGCCACTTGAAGTGGCAGCTTTTCTTAACCACGGTTAACTCCAGCGGTATTTTGAGAATTATTTTTAACCCAACAGTATTTTAGGATTTATTTATTTAATTAGCATTATTATGGGGAAAAACTCATTCGGGACCTGAAAGATAAAGTGTGTCGATATAGTGTTCACATGGTTGAAAACTGTCAACATAAGACCTATAATTCCGTGAATTTTATTATTTTTTATCTTAAAAAACTAAATATCATTTAATCTCATAAAAGTAATAAAGTCTTGTGAAGAATAAAACAATAAAAATAGCAAAGGAATTAATAAAAATTAAATAGATCAAAACCTACGATATTTTAGGTCTTAGATTGATAGTTTTCAATCATTCGGGTCCTATATCAACACATTTTATCTTTCGAGTCCCTTAGTGATAGTGAACTTAGCTTTCACGTCCTGGATTGATAAAATTCCTATTTTAGAAGACTAAAAAATACTTGATACAAAATAACAAACTGATATTTAATATTTTGGATTACTTCTCCTATCAAGTTAACTTCTTAAAATAAAATTTCAAATCTCATTGTGATATCATACCTATGTTTGGTTGTGATTTGATTAGTTGTTTGCTTTCATGATTTAAGATTGGTTTAGAGATATTGTGAAATATCTGTCCTAGCACATGTTTAGTATAATATATTTAATTAATATATATGAAATTCTTGACCGCTCTTCCAGATAAGTTAAACTTTTTATACATAACTCTTAGTTTTAACCGATCATAATGACAGTCACAATTGTGATTGTGTTGCAATCGACCTTAACATTTATTGTACATTGATTTGTGTCCATTTATTTAGTTTGTTATTTTATCAATACATACTTTTGCAATTAGATAATATCTCTTGTTGTTTTTAGCACACGCAAAATTAACTTTCCATGCATTGATCATTACATAATCATCTAAAAATGGTTCATAACATTTCAAACATCAATGCTTGTTATAGAACTGACAACTTCTTTGTTAACATTTGATAATGTAACATCGATAGTTGACCTGTTTCTTAACTCGCCTCTTTTCCCCCACAAGTAACTGTATAATCCAGCAATCATGAGTATCATTCCTAACAAGCTGCAAATTACAATATTACAGTCAAAGTAAAAAACATCCTTAATACTATGTAATACTACGTATACAATATTGTTTCTTTTGTAATAATAATTAAACGCTAATTATTCTTTATTGAGTGGGTTTACATGATAAGATATACTTTAATCAATTCAAAGTTATTATATTAGTTGCTACACATGACTTTTAATTAGTTTGCACAAAACATTTTAAAAGATACGTAATTCTTACATTCCAATTGTGAAATCCTCGCCAAAGAATATAGCTTCAATAATAGCCACAAACACTACAGAGAGAGGATCAAACATGGAGGGATAAGCTGGTCCTTTCTTTTCAACAGCCCAAATAATCAAATAGAATGATGCCGCTGAAGCCAATGCACCCTATTACAATTCAAAATTAGTAAAATAAAGTAACCGCTATATATGCATTTGAGTTTCAATAAGAAGAACTGTGATGTAAATCGAGCATAACTATTAAGTTTCAACATTAGTAAAATAAAGTAACCACTATAATACGTCACCCTATTACGTCACACGGGAGGAGTGATGAATTAAAATTTCAAGTATGTCAAGTTTGTTACACTAATACATACTCTGTTCATGTAAATTAATAATGAATTAGAGAAGATCCCGTGTAATGTAAATCGAGCATAACTCAAAGTTAGCGTACTAATTAGAGATCTATTTTATTTTCATATCAATGCTTTATAACAAAATTCTGGAAGATTGGAATAGCTCATTATCGTATACCTCTCTATTCCACTAGAGTAATAGACTTTACAAACTTTTCTTTTACTGCATTACCTCAAAAACTTTGACAATTTCCCTTCTAAAATGTTTAATTTAATTTGTGGTTCTTTTTATTTGTTCCTCCTATATACAAACCTCAATCGTAATATTCTTAGTTTCTTATTCAGTTATTCCATGTGCGCAAAAGTCAAAACGAGCAATCTCCAATGTGACATAAGAGAGTATATTACTCCCTCCGTAACATATATATGTTCCCATTTGAAAAGTAGGTAGATTAAGAATAGTGAAAAAGGATATAAATTATTGAGGGTATGATGAGAAGATAGTGAAATAATGTGTTGGAATGAAGAATAAATCCAAAAAAAGTAGGTGTAATAGTGTATTATTTTTAAAATTATTGAGGGTATGATTGGAAGATTATGAAATGGGAAGATATGAATGTTACATCCAAAAAAGGAAAGTGAGAAGATATAAATGTTACAGAGGGAGTAGTTTTTTATATGCTCCGTACCAAATCAATATGAGGTGAATACTTCAATAGTGTCCATAATAAATTTTAAATGAATACAAAAAGGTTGAAATAGTGTAAAAATATTACCGAAAAAAGAACATTGACTAGCTTCACATTCCAACCTAAACTCCATGAATTCCAACTTCTATCCAAACATATCCCCAGAATTGCTGTTTGTATTGATGCTGTCACGCAAGTCAGAAAATTTCCCAAATTCTTTGATGGGAGTACTTTTAGCAGTCGGGCCTAATAAAGGTGATAAAAAATAAATTTAACATGTAAAGAGAGTAAAAGTGCAAATATATCAACAATCTTGTATTATCATAAAAACTAGAGGTGCTCATTGTTTATATTCGGTTGATATTGAATTGGTTAATTGCATTCCACATTTTACAAATGCAACGATAAGGCAAATCAAATTAGTAAGTCAATTTATAGTCATTTTCACTTAGCTTGGGACAAAATCATTTGGTTTAGTCAGTTTTAAATCTTAATCATAAACACACGCAAGACCGAGTTCTATAATTTTAGGGATTTCTATTTTGCGCTACTAAATATAAACCATGGTTGATATACTCCATGTCTTAATAAAACGTGGAATTAACTATCTTATTGTGAATTGTAAACTATGGTTGCTATATTGCATAGAGTGTTTTACAAAAGTATTACTAAAATAAAATATATTTACACAGGCTAATAATTAATACAATACAATGTTATAGTAACTTAAATTTAAAAGTTGAACATAAGTTATCATGATTTCATTACTACTCTAACCATTGGTCACATTTTTGTAAATAATATCTATTTTAGTCATAAATAATTAAGTAAATATTTCTATTGCATATTAGTCAAATTTGAAAATAAATCAAATAATATATCACTGTAAAATGAAGAAATAACTTGTCTTTTTGGCTATTCATTTTTATTATGGTTAGTTTTACGTATTAACTTTTGCAAGAGTGAGCCTTATCAACACTCTTCTCCAATAAGATGAGACACTTTTATTTATGAATTATACCTGTGCAATAAACCATAGGGCATAACCAAGACAACTAGAAACCAATAAAATGGTGCCACGTGTCCAATGTTGACTTGTTTTGCTTACAATGGTTGTAACCTCCTTATGATGAGAGTTGAAATGAAAGAATGGCAACGATATTCCCTTATATAGACTAATAACCAGAGCCCCTCCAACACATAGGAATGCACCTACTATTTTAAATCGCCCCCATCGACTGTTCAATTTCAGAGTCTCCATTCTGTAGCCATAGTGATCACAAGAAATATTTTTAAAGTGTTAATTGATAATAAAAAGAAGAGAAGAAGATTTATTTAAAGTTGCTAATTGGTAGTTGTTAATAAAAAATGCTTATAACTTGTTTGGTTATGGGATATTAGAAACGAGAATATGAAAAAATGATTTTTTCCAGTACCACTATATCTATTTTGTAACTAGTCATAGACTTTAAATATTTGCACGGCCTTAAAATTAGTTTTAAATATTTGCACGACCTTAAAATTAGTTGTTGTTTTTAAAGAGAAACATTATCTCTTGTTTAATTAAACATTGTCTTTCTTCCATTTTAGTCTCTATTTGATATGTAGAGTCACATTTTGTTTACTTTAATTATTGACCATGACAGTGTGACACCGTTATATTAAAAGTCCAGGCGGTCCGGCGGCGGCAGCAGGTGGTCGGCGGCAGGCAGCAGTCCAGGGGCAGCAGTGGGGGTATTTTGGTCCAATCACACATAAAAAGTCCTATTTAAGAATGTTTAAACTAATTGGTCCTATTTTGAAAAAAATGTCATGTTTTAATTGCTCCTATTAAGGTAAATCTCCCTTTCAATATTTGTTTTTCAAATTTAACTCAAGTGTGCAATTTCAATATTTACAAAAAAAATAATTCACATTTTTTATTTTTTTATATCGGAATGTTTGACTTTTTAAATCATAATTATTGGTAAAAATAAAATTGTCACATAAATGATTTATAATAATAAAAAAGTAATGATTTATGCATTTAATTAAAAAATAATGTGTTGAGTGAATATATATTGACGGTGTTGTATTGCAGGGAAAAACTGAATTTACTGGCTGAATACATATAAACGGGTGTTGAATTAGATTTATTGACGGACTGGATGCGGTTAGCCTTATACCATGAAAATATTATATACATAGTATGTAATTAAGTCATTCCACACAGGCTAGGTATAAAGATACAAATCAAAATACACAGCTTTGGACTACTTTACTATCTTGTTGAACTTTTAGGGGGAACTTCAAATGTTATATTAGAACTGATTAAGCTACAACAGTCCTCCCATAAGCCTTAAAAATGGCTCTACGGCTTGGAGCAAAGTTGAGCCTTCAAACACAAAATATAAAGATATAAATCAAATAGTACGGAGTATATATTTTTGGACTACTATTCCTATAATTTATGAAACATCAAGTCATAACATAACTCTTTAAGGTCATGTTAGACTTTATTAATGCACAATTATAAATGTCATGGTCAAAGATGGAAACTAGAGACGTTGGCAATCATAATAAGTACTTTAACTGGAACATAAATAGTAATTTATCTCTTTAAAATTTTTCATCTTCCGTCTATTTATTTATTTATTATTTACTAAGTAAATATAAGCATAAATTTAAGATATCATCCATTTCCTTAATTCACGAACTTTTACTTACCGAACAACCACAGAAAGGAAGAAGGTTACTATAGGAATTAAATTGCTAAAGTTGGTAGCATAAGTTGCACTTGTATCCTTGAGACCATAATAGAATAATCCCATCCCCAATGTTATCCTGTATCAATAAATATTTATAGAAGAATCATTTTTACACGCATATATATTATACGGAGAACATAATAAAGAAATTGGGCAGCCAAGGCCCCATTAAGTCCCACTGGCTTAAAATATTTCTCAAAAAGTGACCAAGTAATCTTACATTTCCCACAGATGTTCATCAATCTCTTGTTATGCGATGTTGGCAACCGGTCAAGGTTAATGTTATTAAGTTTCAGGGTTTCATTCTATAAGATTAGTTTATTCTATAAGATTAGTTTAATACGAGGGTAACTAAAATTTCATAAAAATGTTAGTTTGCATTCTATCTTCAGCAAATGTAGGATGACTTAGAATGCCCACTAAATGGTGACTCGATGATCGAAGCAGATCAATCAAAATTGAAATTAATATGGAAAAGGACAAATAACATTTCTACGATTCCAATGAGCATAAATAGGAGTAGATTTTAAAATGGACAAAAAGTGACATTGTAAGAGTGAGTCTCAAATTCCCCTTATGCCCTTATGCTTCTCCCTTGCCCATTAGACAGCAACATCGGTTGAACCCCCCTTCTAGCACATAGCCTCGCTTACCACTAATCTTTCTCACACCAACATCGCCCCACTGACCATCAACCAATGTCATCACCTACCTCCAAATTTGTAGACATTTCATCTTCACATAGCCAATTTAGGATGTAGATCAGCGAGTGCAACCTCAGTTTCGGGGCGGCACCTTAGGACGACAGCTAGGGATTCAGAGTGGGGTGATAACGACTATATTATACTCCCTCTATCCCGTAAAATAGTTCTCGGTTTCCTTTTTGGGTTGTTCCAAAAAATAGTTCTCATTTCCCCTTTTGGTAAGCTTTGTGTGGCTCACATTCTGTTACCTTTTTCTTACACAACCACAACCATACATTTCCACTTTATTCTCATTTTCTTAAACTCCGATCCAAGTCAATGCGGGAACTATTTTATGGGACGGAGGGAGTAGATACAAGGCGAGGGCTAGGACGAGAGTTAGGGTGAGGATTAGGGCGAGTGTTTGGGGTGGTGTTAAGGTTTCCCTTTCACTTGTGTCAATGTAGAGGCGGGGCTAATGGAGAAGGGGCCAGTGTTTGGGGCAATGGTCAGGAAGTCATGGGGGTAGTGTGGTGCAAGGAAGGGGGCAGTGGCGGTGGGGGGGGCCATCACAAAAAGTGGATAGAGTAGGTGGGACTGTGGCGGGGGAAGGGCTGTTAGGGAAGCGATAGGGTGAGTGGTAGGGCAGTGGATTGGGAGAGTGGCAGAAAGTGATGGGGGAGAAGGGGCACGACAGTTACAGTGTAACAGTCATTGCCAACATTGGATCACTAGTGCGGCCACTAGTTGCTGATGTCACCGTCTCACCGAGGCGCCCAGAGGTGATGGGGCATCAGGGGAACTGGGACGTCAGGGGTTATTGGGATGCATGTAGTTTATTAGGGTTTCAAGGTCACTAGGTGTCGCAGATCACTGAGTTTTGGGGTTAATGGGGTGCACGAGGGTCTATGGGGGTCGAGGTGTCACTCGGAGTAGAGCCGTCAAAATGGGCTGAAACCCGCGGGTCGACACGTTTAAACCCATTTATTGGTGGGTTAGGGTTGTGAATTTCTTACCCATTTAGTTCGCGGGTTTAAGTGGGTTGGCCCAACGGGTTGCGGGTTTAAGTGGGTTGGCCCGATGGGTTGCAGGTTGGCCTGCGGGCTAACATACAAACATTTACTTGGTATATTTTTACTTTGGGTCGGTTTTACAGCTCTAACTGGGCGGGATGTCATTGAGAGTTTATGTGGTACCACTAGGAAGGGTGTCATTGGAACTTAGGAGGGGTGTTTTTGTACGATGCATATACGACTTTCTAATTTTAGGATTTATTTAGTTACTTTTTCAAAAACTTAAAAAACAGTCTCTTTTGTGTCTAAAAGTCACTTTTTTCAAAAATATAGTCACATTTTAGTGGAAAAGCCCCAGATAATATTTGTGCTTCGGAAACTTAGTTAGATTGGTGGTTCATTTGGACTCAATTTCACATAATATCATATTAAGACTTTATGTCTCATCATAAAAAGTTAACTAGATATGTGTAGTATAAAAATGTTCAAATGTTAAATTGTAACTTAAAACTTGATCGTGAGATAGCTTAATAACATGCATCTAAGGTATCGCTGGCAATGAAATAATCTTTCTTTTAAGAATTTTAAAAAGTAAAAACCAGCCAAGTACCTATTATGTGATGACATCACTATTGATTTTCTAAAGAGGGGGTCGCATGTTCAAGTCTCATCTCAATCAAGAATGTTGACATTATCATGACATTAAATAAATGCAACATATTGAATTTTACACTATTCATATGTTCTACTTTGACTATAATTTATTTATTAATGTATTAATATTTTTTTTGGAAACAATATTGCTAAATTTGTCTCATTATACATTTTCAATTTTTTTTTAATTTTTTTTACTAATACAGAATTATCCTCCGTATGTATTAATGGTCAAAAAAAATTTTCGACAAATGTGAAATGTTAACCGTTGCATTTATTTAAGAACGAAGGAAGTATAATGAGTTTAGAAGGATTTTCCAAAAAAAGAAAATTAAAAACCACTTGTACATGCTGTGTACATTTTGTCGGTATCACAGGCAGTTCGTCTAAAAATGTAAATGTGAAACAGACAAAATATATGAGCGTATACAAAACGTGTACAAATGATTGTATATACAAGCATTAAGATTTACTCTTTTGAAAACATTGATATTTTCTCTCTTATATATCTTTTCTTAAGTCGTGTCTATATGTTTACATGCAATGCAAAATGTAGAAAATTAACATAAACATAAAACATGGATGTACTCTAGAGGACGTACCCAGTTAGAGCTGTAAAAAATGTCCAAAGACAAACCTTTGGATCCAAATTCTTGTCAACTTTCCTGCAGTGTGTAAATTCAGCCAAAGGTAAAACTTGTTATAACTTCTGAGTAAAATAAGATCTCTCCTAATTTATAAAAGAGTAATGTTTTAATACTATGCGATTCATTTTTAATTCGCCTTTTCAGAATTTACCACAACTTTACGTCACTAAATTAATTAACACTATCTGCTTTAGATTTTAAAAATTTTCTCCAAAACTTTAGTATGTACTCCCGTCTCCGTATGAGATATATATGGAGTTTCATGCTAAAAGATCGTTACGATGGAAAGTAATCTAAATATAATACGGAATATAATATTAATAATTTTGAATATATAGTTTTAAAAACTCAAATTCGAGATAGAGTTTGAGCTTTTTATTTGAACTCAAACCTATAAAAATTAATTAGTAATGTTTGAGCCGAGCTCGAACCTCAAAAATAGTAAACTCGTCAAACTCGAATTTGTGCATTCTTGTCAAGCTCAAACTTAAACAATTCAACGTGACCAAGTTCGAAGTGGACTCGACTAGCTAGTTTGTAAGTGGAGAACATAGACAAACCTCAAAGGCATTAGTCATTACTACTTCCCAACAATTCCTAGGGTGTGATATGAAACGTACCCGTCAAAGAGGAAAGCCAATGGAGCGATGCAAAGAGCAGCAACGAGATGACGGTAAGTCAAAATGGCAAACACTAGCATTCCCTTATTGATGGCCAATTTGGTCAGAATTTGTGACCCTGCGAATATCACTTGAACGACAACCATCGCCACTATCGGCGCTGCCGATCTTGACTCCCAACCACCGTCCCTAGTAGTCGTCGTCACCGGTTTTTTCGTCATCATCTCCTCACTAATCCCAACAAGCTCAACAACTTGATCACTATTTTCTCTCGTCATAACTATTTCTTGATGCGTACTTTGATTATAATCACTAATTGTGACGCTCCTGCTTATAATCACTGCATGTTGTCCTCTGCTGCTTGCCTGGTTGGTGGGTTGTTGTGTCAGATATTATATTAATTATATATCTTTTGTAATCACTTATTTTAGCGAAATAGTTATTGCCTTTTCTTTGAGTTATTAGGATGTTTTCTTTATACCGTTTTCAGTCCCAGACCATATCAAATCAGATCAGACTTTCATAGTTAAAAAAAACACAGACCATATATTGCAAGACTAGACCAGACCAAACCAGACCAGTAAATTTCAGTCCAAAAGAAAACGTCATTCAGTACACACTATCGTATATGCGGATGTAACTTAGTTGACCAGAAGAGGAATAATACACTTTGAGTTTTACTTTGAATATATACACGTACTACTGTTAACGCTTAGTTTCACATAATTATTATCATTAATTGGTCACATGTTTACAATACAACATGCAATGAGTGCTCTTATAATTCAAGTCAAAATTATTTGTAGTTGAAATTTGGCACATGAGCAATAATATAGAATCAAATTAATATTCCCTATCAAACAATTTTGGCAACCGACAACTAGCGTGACTCAATTTGGCAATCTCCCTTTAATTTGTTTTGGAGAGCTATACAAACAAACAAGCAAACATTATTGTAGGAGTTGAATATAAGTCTTACTTTTCAACCAAAAGACTCTCCTCAACAATATTAAAAAAATACCTTAATCTTTTACTTTATCAAACTGACCAAATTTCCCTAAGTTGGTCGGAGGGAGTATAAACAGTGGGGTTCCTAAGTTCCTTTACATTAAACCATTCAAAGGTCAGAATTCAAAGTACGTCTCGCTAGGTAGGCGCTTGTTTTTTCGTCGTAAAAGCAAAGTACCTACTTATCAAGAAATAATTATACGGAGTATATTATGTACTGTAGAACGAAAATTAAGTAGGTGATCATCCGACTTTGTCAGAATTTAAAGAATTTAGTTTACATTAAGTAAAACTGTAGAACACTAAATAATAATAATATTAATGACTCAAAGGTGAAGTTAACATCAAATATGAAAACAAAAAAACCATACTACTCCGGTATTATGTAGAAACTTAACCGATGCTAAATTAACATTAATATTAAGCATTAATTTAAACAGAAAGTTTTATATTAATTTAAAGTTGAAGTTATCATTAAATATAATAACTGAAAGAACTATTGATATGTTGAAACTTAATCGAAGGATAATAATTACATCGTATAAATTAAAATAGTGATAGGCAGAAAATTAACATTATTAATATTTAGTATGTACTCCGTAATATTTAATTCAATAGGAACAAAAACTAAGCATTCAAACAGAGAAGATATGTTGAAACTTAATCGAGGGACTATTATAAAATATTAATAGGCAGAAAAGTAACATTAATATTTAGTATTTAATTCAATGGAAACAAAAACTATGCATTCAAAACAGAGTAGCAGTACCGTAGTAATAGTAAGAGAAAATAATAAATTCCATACAAGTATTAATAAGGAAAAGAAAACTAACCAAATGGATGGAAGAAGGTTTGTCAGAGAGCGGATGGAGTTTGAGGAGGAAGGTAGAGCCTGGCTCAACTTTGGAGATTCTGAAGTAGGTGGGAATTTTTGAGAGATGCAAATCAGTGATGTTCATCATTTATATAGTTCGTATAGGGTGGTCTATTTAAGAATTAGTTCCCTGAAAACATGAGACTACGAGAGTTATTCCCAACTAAAAATGGGCCTTTAAATACTCGTTACTTCGTCACATGCGGGATTGATAGCTCCTTAATTAATTGCGTCCTAATTTAGACATGCATCATCGAGTTGGTATCTATGTTGTAAAAACCGAACCGGAGAGTGACCCGGCCACATGACTGGGTCACGGGTCAATCCGGACCCGGTGGGTCAACCCGGTCAACGCCGGAAAACCGGTTAATTTTTTTTTGTTAATAGCAAGGGCTTATTTAGTGATGTAACTCGCGTATATTAAGAAGTAACCCATGCATAAATAGATGTAAATCGCACATAATAAACTTCATTTAATATCAAATGTAAACAATAAAAATAAGTAGTTTAAGTGTTCAATTAATTTATTTACCTAAATAGTAAATATTTTGTGTTTTTATATTAGGACCATAAAATGTTTTAAATGTAAACAACTTAAATGGAAAATGTAACTTTAGCATGTTTAAATGTGAATGGCCTTTAGGGGAGATGTAACTAGCCCATTGTCTTTCTTTTCTTGCAAAATCCATCAATTAGAGCATCATACTACGTATATATTTACATTTGGCTCTTGACCTTCCACTAACATTGTATCCAATAGATCACGAGCATCGTTTACCCGATGTGCTTTGCATAGACCATCCACTAAAGCTCCATATGTAATGACTAACGAGATTGGGCTTCACTGCACTATTACCCATATCTGTCTCGAAGTACATGTCTACTTCGGAAGTGCTAACACTTCCCTTCATTTTTGCATAGATCTGGCAAGCCTTATCCACATTCCCTGCTTTGCAGAAGCCACCTATCAGAGCAGTAAAGGTCACAACATTAGGAATGGATCCTTCAGACAACAAAGTCATTTATATACAGAGTACGCTACACCATTTCATCCTTGTGCACCCTAGACATTTATGTCGGTGAAACAATAGCAGAACAATCGCGAGCAGAGTAAGTTCTATTAGCTTCGGATCCTTTATCACAACAAATATATGAGACCAGCAACAATAACAACGTCCAGATTAACAACCTCTTGAATGGATCTGCGTTGGAGATGGAATTTCTACCGATGGAGTTGCGAATTTTACGGTGGAATATCTAAATAACCAGGAGGGAGATGACCTTTCAACTGCAGATTGAGACCATAAATTGGAACTCAGGGAGGGCGACGACAGCTGGACAGCCATATGCGAACTGGAGGTGGCGGAAGCGCGGATGTAGAGTAGAGGGGTATTATCCCATCGCTACGTATTCCATCGCTGCACTCCAAGATAGATGCGTTTTGATTTTTTTTAACGAAAACGATGCCGTTTTGGGATGAGTACACGATCCCAAGTCCTTTTTACACAAATACGGAGTATTAAGAAAGGGACCTTCAATCCACTTTTCGTTCCTTAGCTAACCGCAACCCAAGTCTCTCAATAAATCTAATTCCTCTCCAGTTTATACGTATTCACTCAGTCAATTCAGTTTTCCTCCGCAATCCAGTACCGTCAATATATCCACTCAGCACATTTTATTAATTAAATGCATAATCCTTAGTTATTTTATTACACATCATTTATTTCTTAATTTTATTTTGACAAATAATTATTGTTTAAAAACTCAAACATTCCGATGTAAAAAAAATTAAAAAAAAATGAATTAATTTTTTTAGTAAGTATTAAAAATGAGTTTTTTATAAAAATATTACTAAAATAAAAATTATTTACATAAATATGACTATTAGTTACTACAATGTGGTGTCATAGTAACTTAAGTTTAAAAATTGAATATAAGTTACTATGATTTCATTACTACTCTAGTCATTAATCATATTTTTGTAAATCGTCTTCATTTCATTCATAATCATGTAATTATTTCATTAAAAATACGTACTTGGGTTCAATTTGAAATAAATTTAAAACTATTAAATGTTTTGTATATTTCTATATTATTAATTTTTCATTTTATATACTATGAACTTGTTTAATATTAAATTAATCAATTGAAACAAATGTTTTTTTTGCTCCAAAACAAATGTTGTAAAATTAAAATACCAACAATCTTTTTTTGTTAAATCCAGCTGCAAAGTGAAGCCAAAAAACCAGCTCACCCCACCACACTTTTTCATACGCACACACCCACCCAGCAGCCCTTTTGGCTTTTTCATCCGCAACACACCCACGCACTCCCACGCACAAATGCAGACCACTTCTTTGCTCTTCAAAATGTCAGGCGCGTTGCAGGCCACTCCACTCCTGTTCTCCAGGACAGAGTCAATTGCCCGGCCACAGGTCGCCCCCAAGGTTCTCTAGACTCCCGCTGACTCCTCCCTATAGGAAATAATCTCCCGCTTGCAGCCATTTTGGGGTGAAAACCTCACTTTTAGTTTTTAAATAAGATCCGTCAATTGTCTAATTATATGTAAATATCGTCCTCGTCTCGGGCGGTCTCGTGTATATTATTAGTCCCGGACATCTCGGTACGTCGGGTTCAATGTTAGTTCAAAATAAAATATTGGACGATTGGAGTATTTTATTTACCAAAATAAAATATGTAGTATGTGATAACATTTCAATATTGGTACTACTAAGAGCATCTTTCTCCTTATTTGAACAGTCTTATATATCTTTGGTAGATTTTTCTACACAATGTCAAGTAAATTGTTTAGATGTAGGCATTAATTATGGTTATCATTGTTAAGAAAAACATACCAAAAACATATAATGCAAAACTTTGAATGCAAGTCAACCCTTGTGAGCACCTAAACCTAGTGTGAGTAGTGTCCTACGGAACCCCGATGAAAGGAAGTGAGAGTTGAACTGTTAAGACCCGGGGTTTCATCCTAAAATGTTAACCTGATAGAAGGAGTAGCCCAAAGCCTTATATAATGTTTTATTATTTTATAGCATTCCGATGTGGGATAAATACTTCAACATAGAACTCTAATAGTAGAGTTACTCAAAGATTTAAGTATGCTTATTTAGAAGTCTACCTATGGGTGGAGCAAGGAACTCGGTTAGGCTAGGTTGCCTAGGGTGAAGATTAGTTATTTATATTAGGTCTAAACATTATCTGAGTGAGCTAAATATTCAAATGAAAAAAATTTGCTTTAAAAATCTGGGGGGAAAAGTGAGCTGCTTTGTACTAACCCGTCATAAGTCCAATGTAAATCATTCTGTCAGAATAGCATGTGGAGTACGGAGCATTATCTTAGTATGCATGTGGTAGAACTGTTTAAGAGGGGCTAATAAAGTTTTTACTCGAATGATTTTAGTCCGAAACTACAGATGTTTTATTGATTTTATTGAAATTTGCTGGTCTTGTTTGGTCTGAATTGGTCTGGTCTGATAAACATATGGTCTCTGTGTATTTTATAACTATGAAAATCTGGTCTGGTCTGGGACTGAAAACAAACCAAAAGAAAACATTCTAGATCACTACAGAACCAATCAAACTTACATAAACTAGAAATCAAATAAATCAGATTTCGACAATATAAAATAGACTATACATTTATAAGACTAGATGAAATCACAAAAGTTCGCACAAGCCTTTGATGCCCATGTGAAAAGTGCAAACATCTTGGACTTCGTATTTGGATAAGCCAATATGAAGTCAAAGTTGTCCATTTCTTATGGAATCTCATACTAAAGACGTGCCGTCAATTAAGTCTCACTTGGGATAATACTCAATAGTTGTTTTGACTCACTTATTTGGTTCGGTCAAGTTCCACAGAGCACGAGTCTTCTTTCGAGTGCCAATTTAAGTCTCATTACATAAATTGTTGCTTATAAAGAACCACGTTTTCCTTTGGGAATTGGGTAAGCAGATGTCCAAACTGGACTAGAGCGGTACAAAGGCTTTTTTAGAAACTTTTTAACACAATACTTTTTTGTTGTTGAGTTTTTTTTATTTAATTTCAGCTTGTTTTTTTGTTGCACTGTAAGACTTTGAGCTTGGATTTGGATGACAGGGAGGCTGCGGTGATCGTCTTTGGCTCAGTTGCGTCCATTAATGGATCAACAAGTTATATTGCTTCTATTGTGGTGATTAGCTCTGAGTCTGGTTTGAGGGTCGACAGTTTGTCAGTGGTCTTTTTGTCTTTTTAACCCATATTTGTATGCTGTGATATCAATATAAGCCACATTCCCTCAAAAAAAAATTGTATTGGGTCGGATCGGGGCTTAGGTTTGAATTTTGTAATCGTATGATTCAAATTGGATATTCTTGCATTATTAGTACAAATAACATGCATATTCACATATTACATAAATTAATACTACTGTATAAGCACAACATAATATTAAACCCAAAGTCAGTAATTTCATACCTAGTGTTGTATTTCCTCCGTCCTGTTAAAATTATCTCATTTTTCTTCTCGGTCTGTACCACTTCTCACTCCAAATTTGATAAAATATGTGTAGTTTTAAATCATTTTTAATTTATTCTTACTTTATCAATTCAATATCAACTACATAAGCTCATTTCTCTTAGCGAGTGTTTGGATCCACTTCCTAAAACTGTTTCTGGCCTTTTAGGGAGTAGAAAAAGATATTGAAGTTTTGAGTGAAAGTGCATAAGTACTTCTGGGTGCTTTAAACTGTTTCTGCCTAAAACTGTTTCTGGCCTTTTTAGAAGACATGACAGATCAGTTTTTGAAAAGGTGATTCTTATTTTGCTTCTACTTTTAAAAAGGAAGCAGAAATAGAATCAATTCCGAACACTCCCTTAATAATTGTGTTACCTCTTCATATCCCACTGTTAGTGCTACGGAGGTAATACAACTACAATTATATACACACATCTTGTAGTCTACAATACAACTACAATTATATAAACACATCTTGTAGTCTAATCCCTATAAACCCTAATTAAACAGTGTAATTCAAAGATTTTGATTATTTATTCTGAGTTTTTTTCCTAAATAATGTTGACTAAAAAATTATTTACAAATTTATTGTTGAATTAAAAATATATACCAAAGTACTGTCAATGCCAAATCGCCATCCCATTTGGCGACTCACATTTAAAGAATAGCAGGAGCAACCAAGCTGCGAAGAGAGAACAGTAGTGGGGCCTAGGATATAAAAAAAACATTTTTTTTTCTTTAAAGTGCTGTAACTTTTTCATTTTTGCTCTATTTTTTATAAAACATATATCAAAATTCATAATTTTTTATGATCTTTCATTTGACACCAATATTGTATATGTAAATTTTAACTTTATGATCTTTCATAAATTGTATATGTAAACATTCTAACAAGGTTTATGTAGTAATACCATATATTTTAGATAAATGAAATTTATGTCATTAGAATATTTAAGGTTCCCACATGTAGGCCTGTCAATGGGTCGGGTCTAGACCCGGACCCGACCCGGACCCGGTTGTTTTTAACGGGTATGGGTCCTTATTTTATTCCGTTTACCCGGACCCGAACCCGGACCCGTTAGTACTTTTAATAAACGGGTCGGGTATGGTACTTATGATTCCGACCCGTTAAGGACCCGGACCCGTTTAAAATTTCTTATTAGTATTTATACACACACACACTAATACATAAAGAGATTAGTTATAATACTTCAAATAAAAATACAAACTAATACATATATATAAAGTGATTAGTTTTAATTCGTTGATTAAAAAGAAACAAATTAATACATACCTAATGTATAAGTGATAATATAATAGTACGTAGTATATAATATGCTTTTAGTCCAAAAGAACTTTTTGTGACCTAATTTCTAGTCTAATATACGAGCTTTCTGTGGGAGAGAAAGAGACACAAAGTGCGGAATTGTACGCATCTACAAGAACCGATATTTTATTCAATAAAAGTACTAATTTTCTATGATAAACCTTGATTTTTTTTTAAAAGTGAAGATATATTTTTCTTTTAAATTTGTGCAATTTGATTTACATTTCATATACATGTTTTACTATTTTTAAAAAATTATATAATGTTCTGTCAAAAAAAAAAGTTATATAATGTTGTGCATATGATACTTGGCGGGTCTACCCGACCCGGTTCCGAGACCCGTTGGGTCCGGGTCCGGGTCCAAATTTTTAGACCCGCCGGGTAAACGGGTCGGGTCCGGGTCCTTTATTTACTTAGCGGGTCCGGGTCTGGAACACTACGTTCCGACCCGGACCCGACCCATTGACAGGTCTACCCACATGATCAACCTCAACACCATTAGCCCGCCATTACATATACGTACGAAAAGCGCCTACCAGCTGATCGAGAGTAGCAGGGCCACCCTCTGTTTGCCCACCAATTCAGTGTATTATGTATATATCCAATTATCCATTACTGTACTCCCTCCGTATCACATATATCTTCCCACTTCCAAAGTGGGTGAGATTAAGAATAGTGAAATGAGGTATGAATTATTGAGGGTATGATGGGAAGATGGTGAAATAATGTGATGGAATGAAGGATAAATCCAAAAAAAGTAGGTGTAGTAGTGTATTATTTTTTAAATTATTGAGG